TAAGGCAACATCAACGGCTGTGGTGGGACTACAGCTGGGAGTTGGAGGAACCTGGCATGGGCGGCGGAATAAGAGTGGGGGTTGGAGGGACCGTGTTGTTAAACACAATCAAGACAGACACAAGAACACTATTTGATGACTTGTCCGTTAGGCGTGCTTAAAACATGGAGCATAAAAAAAACAGCTGTGTCACATGTCTGTCGGCCTGTCTTTCTATCTATTTATCTATCTATCTATCTAATCTATCTATCTATCTATCTATCTATCTATCTATCTATCTATCTATCTATCTATCTATCTATCTATCTATCTATCTATCTATCTATCTATCTATCTATCTATCTATCTATCTATCTATCTATCTATCTATCTATCTATCTATCTATCTATCTATCTATCTATCTATCTATCTATCTATCTATCTATCTATCTATCTATCTATCTATCTATCTATCTATCTATCTATCTATCTATCTATCGATCTATCGATCTATCTATCTATCGATCTATCTATCGATCTATCTATCTATCGATCTATCGATCTATCGATCTATCGATCTATCGATCTATCGATCTATCGAGATATCGATCTATCGATCTATCGAGATATCGATCGATCTATCTATCTATCTATCTATCTATCTATCTATCTATCTATCTATCTATCTATCTATCTATCTATCTATCTATCTATCTATCTATCTATCTATCTATCTATCTATCTATCTATCTATCTATCTATCTATCTATCTATCTATCTATCTATCTATCTATCTATCTATCTATCTATCTATCTATCTATCTATCTATCTATCTATCTATCTATCTATCTATCTATCTATCTATCTATCTATCTATCTATCTATCTATCTATCTATCTATCGATCTATCGATCTATCGATCTATCGATCTATCGATCTATCGAGATATCTATCTATCTATCTATCTATCTATCTATCTATCTATCTATCTATCTATCTATCTATCTATCTATCTATCTATCTATCTATCTATCTATCTATCTATCTATCTATCTATCTATCTATTATATTTGATGTGACTGTGTGTATATCTTCGTTTGCGTCTCTGTGTGTCCCCGTATGTGTTTGTCTTCATGTTTGCCTGTGTATGTTTATGTGTTTTGTCTGCGGGTGTGTCTATGAGGCTGTATGTATGTATCTCTGTGTGTGGGTGTCTGTATGTCTGTCTGCGTGAGTGTATGTGTCAGCATGTGTCTGTCTGTCTGTGCATGTCCATGTATTTGTGTATCGGTCTGTCGCCCTCTCTCAGCAGCGTTCGTCTCAGTGTGTGTGTGTGTGTGTGTTTTTGTTTTTGGGACGTCTTCTTTTGCTCAATTGATGTAATTCCCATTGCTGTGCCTGTCTGGGGATACAGTTCTTCTGAGAATGTGCCCGGTATAGCGCTATCTTCTTTGCTTCTGAACTATTGATACCGGAAGTTTTCAGAAGATTCCTCTTATTTCTCTGGCTTTCTTAAATTCATCGCTTTTATTAATGTTCACCAATTTTCTGCGGGTATTGGTTTTTGAATGCACTGAACATCCATTTCATGCCTTTAGTTGTTCTCCGACTTTCATAGGCATGTATTCAACTGAAATACTGTTGTCACTCGACTTTCATAGGCATGTATTCAACTGAAATACTGTTGTCACTCGACTTTCATAGGCATGTATTCAACTGAAATACTGTTGTCACTCGACTTTCATAGGCATGTATTCAACTGAAATACTGTTGTCACTCGACTTTCATAGGCATGTATTCAACTGAAATACTGTTGTCACTCGACTTTCATAGGCATGTATTCAACTGAAATACTGTTGTCACTCGACTTTCATAGGCATGTATTCAACTGAAATACTGTTGTCACTCGACTTTCATAGGCATGTATTCAACTGAAATACTGTTGTCACTCGACTTTCATAGGCATGTATTCAACTGAAATACTGTTGTCACTCGACTTTCATAGGCATGTATTCAACTGAAATACTGTTGTCACTCGACTTTCATAGGCATGTATTCAACTGAAATACTGTTGTCACTGAAAATAGGTCACTTGGCTTCATAACTATTGTATCATTGAGATTTGCAAATTTTGCTTAGGTTTATGAAAGTTATTGTTGGTTTCCTGACTAGTACGCTTCATAATGTTATGTTTTTGCTTTTTCCTGACAAAATTACTTCTTAAGCAGGTACACTGATCAGTTATATTCGGTATGTCTTTAGTGTTAATCTGCTTGATATTTTGTGAATTTTTAGCATACTAGTCGTTTCATATCTTGTTTATACATAGTCCTACTTTTATTTCTAGTTTTACTAAACAAACTGGTTTTTTTTTTTTTTTTTTTTTAATGACTTGTATTCTTTCTTAGCGGAACAATATCACCTGCGATCCTCCTACACACACACACACACACACACACACACACACACACACATACACACACACACGACCTATTATTGCATATTTAATGTTCTATCAAACCTCACTGCCTCAGGCCTGTGTACAGTCGATGTCTGCGTCAATGCACCTGCGTGACTTTGAGCGGCTGATATGTTTTATCTGTTGTCTTCGAACCGGAACCGTAAGTATTACATGGCTGGGCTGCTTTCGTTTGTCCTCTGTTTATTTATTATAACCGGAGATAATTGACGGATTTACAGAAATATTCTACTCTGACATAGCAGGGGTCAAGTGTGAAAAATCGTTCTGTGTGGATCTACGGCTCCAAGGCTACAGTAGTTTGTCGGTGACGAGCACTGTAATCTAAAAGATGGATAATCATCCATCAGTTAGTTAGTGTTTGGTCTTTCGCTCTTCCTTTGTTTGCTTGATCGTCGTTCAATGAGACGAATAACTACTGATATATGCATTTATAAAGGTTGTATAACCATAGGCTGGAAAAATTGACCATGTTTAACATAGTGGTTGGTAGGCTCGGCAAGTCAGTAGCTGAGATATCATCAATGCCCTCGCAGACGCATAACGCAAGGATGCTGATGGCTTTAGACATGCCCAAATACACCTGTCTATGGTGGTGGATGTGGAGGTACAAGACGGTGCCGCCAGATTCCAACATTTAATTTGCGGCATGAAACCTAATCAACACAGAACGTGTGTGGTCAGCTATTTATGCGCTTGTTTAGCTACTGGAGAGGCGAGGAAAGCCCTTTTGGATTTGTCCGGAGTGTTGTGATGACGGTCCTTCGCCAATCACTTGATCAAGTGTCAACACATCAATGTCATATCCCGACTGTCGTTTCTGATCTACCCATAACCGCTAAAGATTCATCGTTGTATCCTCTCCCGAATGCTTCTTTGAGGTTTACCATCCTGAGATGCAAAAAATTCCTAATCGGGATGGTAGACCAAGACCGCAGATCGCGGATACCCCGTTCAGCATCTTAGAATTTATAATTATAGTCTGCTCCACAAGTGCTGCACGCACACTTGAACAGATGTCTCCAAAACTCTTGGACGCCTCATCACTACCTTTTGCTTGTGTCCTTGCGATTGTATTTAATACTGACAAATGCCCAGCTACTGTTTGTTTTCTTCAGCTGCGAATTTATTTGATCTTTGTTGGACTAATAATTTGTGTACGCCGAAACGAAAAACAGTCACTGAAACTGTCACTACTTTTTGTTTGACCATTTTTTTTGGGGGGGGGGGGGTGGGGGGGCGTTTTGCGTCTTAGTTTTTTGTAGAGATTACCTCAACAACGTGGACAATTTGATATTTTACCAGGCTCATGTTAATCCATTTACTGTAAATATGCTAACTGTAACTTTATCGGTCTCTGGTTTTTTTTTTTTTTTTTTCCTTATGACACAAAAAAAAGGTAAAATAAAAACTAGATATTTGTTTATTTTATAATTATTCTCCGACAAGGACATGATTATGAAAAAGCTGCATGCAGAATTCATCAATGTACACACAACGGTTACTTAGTTTTAGATTTTTACGGTAAGTACCATTTTAGGAACGGACTGTAGGACACCCGCCAGCAGGCAAACCAGCCTGGTGTGACCCACCAAGACCTGTTAGGGTAACGATGTCTGTCCATTGACCGCCAGCAACCAACCAGCCTGGTGTGACCCGCCAAGTCCTGTTAGGGTAACGATGTCTGCCCATTGACCGCCAAGAGCCAAACCAGCCTGGTGTGACACGCCAAGTTCTGTTAGGGTAACGATGTCTGCCCATTGACCGCCAGCAACCAACCAGCCTGGTGTGACCCGCCAAGTTCTGTTAGGGTAACGATGTCTGCCCATTGACCGCCAAGAGCCAAACCAGCCTGGTGTGACACGCCAAGTTCTGTTAGGGTAACGATGTCTGCCCATTGACCGCCAGCAACCAACCAGCCTGGTGTGACCCGCCAAGACCTGTTAGGGTAACGATGTCTGCCCATTGACCGCCAGCAACCAACCAGCCTGGTGTGACCCGTCAAGACCTGTTAGGGTAACGATGTCTGCCCACTGACCGCCAACAGCCAAACCAGCCTGGTGTGACACGTCAAGTCCTGTTAGGGTAACGATGTCTGCCCATTGACCACCAAGACCCAAACCAGCCTGGTGTGACACGTCAAGTCCTGTTAGGGTAACGATGTCTGCCCATTGACCACCAAGACCCAAACCAGCCTGGTGTGACACGTCAAGTCCTGTTAGGGTAACGATGTCTGCCCACTGACCGCCAACAGCCAAACCAGCCTGGTATGAACGTCCAGTCCTGTTAGGGTAACGATGTCTGCCCATTGACCGACAGTGTTTTTTTTAAACTACAATTCTGTTGGATATTAAAAAATCGGAGCCACTTTGTGGCAGTTAACGAATGTTTTCCTTTATCCCCTGACACTCCCCGGAACTTCTCTGCCATGTCAGCCAGCTCGCCTGAGACACCTGGCTTAAATCTCTGCCCCATGTCGCATCATCAACAAAAGCAACAACAGCATCAAGATGGGCGACGAGGAAAGACAACCACTGCTGATGGACAACGACTGGGACCGCTCCGAGCCACAAGTAAACATTACATTCGAGGACATGGGGATACCAACGACACGTCGACTGCACTTTAGCATCATCGGAGAGGTGAGTCAATGCTGACTTCTTGTTCTCAACCTTCAAAGTCGTTGTTAACATAGCTATCAGCATCGACTATTACTAAGTGTGGCTGAGTCCATATTCATTAAAATAGACGTCTACTAACTCCATTAGTAACATGTCCACATCTCATTCATCACCATATCATCAAATACCTTGTAGGCTGGGAAATCCTGCCCCTCCACAATCTACGATCTTCAACAACATGTATCAGATCTTGTGCTCAAGCCTTTCCATGCCATGATAAAAAGCTGGCAAGAATCGTTTCGCATAACT